GTCTAGGAGTACATGTCAGCTCAAATCATCACAAAACTCTCACTAGAAAGATATACGTACTAAAGTCTTGTCGGGATAGTTAAGTTGTACAAGATATATCACATGCACACAATGTGCGAGATTAGGACTTCCCAAACCAAACTATCCTTAAAGACTAATCCCCAAGCTTTTACACAAAGAGGTCTTCCCTAGTGATGTATTCTACATCATACTCATCACAAAACACATATATATGTACGTAATGTATGTCATTTAAGACTCAATGCTTTCACAACATGAAATCACTTGTCACTTATAATTCATAACTCATCAGCTTTTATCACTAATCACTTTATCAATTCATCACTTATCACAATCACTTATGATACAAATCACTCGCACATACACACACATAAGAATTAAGTTCACACACAAGGTTATGTCTGGTGAGGCACACCCTGTGCCCAACATGTGCAAGACCACGAGCTTCTAGAAGGAATCACACCCAACATGTTCCTTCCCACGCTCGACGAGATGCATCCAAAGAATCACTAAAGCTCTTGCACCCAACGTGACTACTCTCATACCTAACATCAATTAATGTCACAAGTATTTCGGGCTTCTAAGTTGGACAAGATCAAGCCTATTTCTAATGTGGCCGAGGTCATAAGCATTTTGTGTTTCCCACACCTAGTGAGCCTAAGTTGTCTTTCGGTACAGTATCAATAAAACATGATCTATATAACTTGCAATTTTACAAAAATGTGATTTCTACAATTTGTATTATTTTATTTCATTAAATAGGTATCTAAGGTTTAATTAATCCACATTTTCAGTCATGTAATTACTAATATTTCAAATTCACTCCTAGTCAAGGGTTTAGAGATATCCTTTAGGTTCCCTTGGGAACTTATAGTCACTTATAGATTCATAAGCACATCATTATAACAATACAAACAAATATCTCATACACACACAAAATAAACAAAATATTAATTAATAAAATCTTTTTACTTTTCCCATGTAATTATTCTTTTTAAAATTATTGTTAGTGTTAATCTTTCTCAACAAGTTTACGAGTTGACTAAACATCAAAATGAAATTTTTCTTATTACATGATAGGTGTAAAAAAAACAAAATGTAGAGTTTATATTGCATGTTGAGATGGAAGAATTAACTTATACATATTGACAAGGTATTTGTATAAACCAATTTTTTGTGATCATCTTCATTATCAAAAATTTGATGTAGAAGATATTATTATTATTATTATATACATTATTTATAATAGAGAAAAATATATTAAACTCATGGTTGTATGCATTAATATATAAATGTTATATAATTATCTTTTTATTATTATAAAATTATAACAATAAGTTTAAAAAATAAATAAAATATATTTTATAACATAAAATTAATAAGATATTTTTTAATATATTTATTATTTTATAAAATATATGTTAAATCAAATACATGTAGCACGAATACACATACTACTATACATAATGAACTAATAAGCTATGGATTAACTTTATGTAATTAATGACAATTAGTGCTTTGAAGGGAGGTATTATTAATCATTAGTTTGTATTCATTCCCTAGTTAAAATTCATTGCCAATTATAAATACTTAATTTTCTTACTGCTAAAAATCTATTTTGGTCTCTTATAATAATTGTTTGTTTCAATTTAGTCCCACTTTTATTTTTTGTCTCAATTTGGTCCCTAATAAATTAATTGGTTATAATGTCGGACTTCCGTCCAAATTATTTAAACGGAGTTAACTGTTGGCCAAGTAGATGTATAGGTGGATGCCAAATTTCATTAATGCATCTGGAACCAGAACGACCCGTTCTGAAACCAGAACGGCCCTTTCTGGTTGCACATGTTGTGTGTTAATTGGCAGTAGAACAGGCCGTTCTGAAACTAGAACAGGTCGTTCTGGATTCAGAACGGGCCGTTCTAACACGCCAACCACATACGCACGTTCAACAAAATGCCGCAATGTGATTCAAAAATTAAAAATAAAAATTCATAACATATCATAAATTCAAATACAGAAATATGGTTCAGAGACTGAAAACAAAAATTCATAACATAACATATACTAAAAAATTTCAAAGAAATTACTGAGAAGGGAAATCATCTAGATAACGTTGAAGGTGTCAATAATACATCTTATCCACCATATAACACTGAATGACTGATAGGATATCAACATTATCTACATATACATGTGGTTGTGTGGTGAAATATTGGTCTTGTGTATCCTCTTCTTTTACTTCAAATTGTACCTCCTCAAGAACAGGTTGTTGTTATTGGGGTACCTCGGTCAATGACTTCAAGGAGAAATACCATGTCGTTTCATTCTTGACTGTATAGTGTCAATTTGATAGTAAGTGGTTCACTCCAGTTTGACCAACAATGAAATAAAACTTGCTACCATTAGTGATACATTGTATTGTCCTTAATGATACATTGTATAGCTCAAATGTTTAGCAATTGAAGTTATCAATCCCCATTGACAATATTACCAAATCAAGTATTTGAAATGCTTTGTACCTTGGGTCTTTTTCCTTGCACAATTCACAATCGTGAACTATAATCATTGACAGTTTGTGTTTGGCATTCTAGAACCAGAACAGCCCGTTCTGAAACCAGAACGATAGTGCAATCAGAACGACCTTTCTGGTTTCAGAACGGGCTGTTCTGGTTCCAGATGCATTAATAAAATTTGGCATCCACCTATGCATCTACGTGGCATCCACGTGGCCAACAGTTAATTCCGTTTAAATAATTTGGATGGAAGTCTGACATTGCAACCAATTAATTTATTAGGGACCAAATTGAAACTAAAAATAAAAGTGGGACTAAATTGAAACAAACAATTATTATAAAGGACCAAAATAGGTTTTTAGCCATTTCTTACTCACCAATTATTTTTAAGTTATAAAAATCTTAAATTATTTAATAATTCCTAACAAATATATATATTAATGGATTAAAGCCCTTATTTATTTTAATAATATATGATGATTATTTTTAACCTCAGAATGGAGCAGAAACTTTTAAAGTCCCTTACCTTACAATTCCCCATATTAAATAATATAAGTTTCTCTTAGTTAACAAATATGAAAAATTCATTAAGAAATCAACATGATTTAACGAGTAGAAAGGGTCTGATACTATAAGTTTCCTATTAGGAAACCTTAACAGACTCTTTTATGTTATCGGATGTTTAGTAGGAGAGAAATTTTTTCATAAGGAATCATAATTTTTGATAATTACAAATTATGATAATCATGATTTTTGATAATAATTAAAATTTGTTAGGTTACTCATTAAGATTCTTGAGAACATTAATTCATGATTCTTAAGAATTAAAGATTATAATGTTTAGTTATAATAATATATTTCTGTATATAAATATTTTTTTTATAAAAATATCTTTTATTAAAATAAACTTATTAGATATACTTATTTATTCAAATTTTATTACAAATATAACATTAAACTATTTTAAAAAGTTAAAAATCTATAGTTAAAATTGTTTAAATACAGAATTCAACAAAAGAAAAATAAAAAAATGCTACATAATAATTAAGAAGGATAAAAATATATTATTTCATTCAAATAAAAATAAATAAATAAATGTTAACAAATATTATCAAACTATAGAAACAAAACAAATTTCAATAATATTATTAAAATTGATAAAGTCAAGAAAAGGGAGAAAGGAAGAGAGGGAGAGTGAGAGTGAAAGAGAAAAATTAAGAGAGGTAAAAAGAAAAATAGAAGAAGAGAGAGGGGGGAGAGGGAGAGAGAGAGAGAAGGAGAGAGGAAGAGAAGGGCAGTGAGAGTAAGAGTGTGAGAGAGAGAGGGAAAAAGAGAAATATATAGAAATAGAAAAAGAGAGCAAAAGAGAAAGAAAAAGTTTTTTGTTATAAAAATAGATACTATAATATATGGTGAAACTTTTCTCATAACTTGATAAAATTAGATTCTTACCCATGAGAATGTTTTTATAGAAAAGTGAAATAAAAATAATTTCTAGGAAAATAATATTTTGAAAACTTTTTCTTAAAATAACTATCAAACATAAAAAATCATGATTCTTGATTTGAGATTTTCAAACAAGTAAAAATATTTCCCATAACAAATGCGTTCAAAGGACCTATCTTTCTCCCGCTAATTAACTCATTAATTCACTTTCCTAAACATGTTGTCTTTCATTAAATTTTTATTATTATCTAGAAAATATCATTTTAGTTGGATGTTGTTGTCTCTATAACATCATTCATATTTAGTGAAAGAAATGATAATTTGTAAGAACTAAACAATCTTGACTATTTTAAAATATACCGACATTATTATTGTTCCTACTAACCATGGATCTTTTGCAATGCACAAGTGAATTGTGGGGGAAAGTAAAACTACACAAAAAATATATAAAATGAATTAAAACAATATAAGAAACTTGGTTTACAATATTAATATAAAGACTAATATCAATAAGGAATCACTTATAATATTTTCTTAAAATTTAAATTTCTTCAAAACATTTTTCTAACTTTTAAATAATAAAAATTAATAATAAATTTGAAAATACTAATTTAATCTTAATTATTTTCAACTTTAAAAAAATTATAACATTTTTTAAAAGTTTAAAATTTTCAAGAAAATATTTATAAGGATATTTAAATAATTAAAATTAACATATTTGAATTGGTTATTTAACATTAACTATTTTTAGTTAGTTTCATAAAAGCATTTATAATATTTAAAAAGAATACAGGAAAGCATTTATAATATTTTAAAAAAAAATACAGGAAAGCATTTTATGGGTTTCCGAAGAAGCCCAGCTAGCGGAGGTTCAGTACAATAAGATAAAACCTTTTTTCTTCTTTTGTCTTAAAAATAGTTGTTTTTTTCAAGTGTTTGATTAAATGATTCTGACCAATTTATTGAATATATGGCATTATGGCAATAGCAACATTCTAATTCAAATGAAACCGATTCCACGTTTCAATGATACAAAACGCAATGAAATTTGAAACACACAAGAACTTAGCAACCACTACTTACATGTACCTAAAAACCATATATCAATGTCATAATTTTTATGTGTACTAATATAACAAAGAGCCATAAAAATATCTTAAATTCGCAGTATATATATGACTAAGCCAATAAACAGAACTAAAACCAAACAAACCATAACCAAATGCAAACTGCATATGCAAATTAAGTTGCTACAGCATCAGGTGCCTACCATTAACGGTTTTTTCCTTAGCATCAATTTAATGGATACGTCTTTGGTGAATAGTGTTTCATTTTCATTGCATATAATGCTGAAGACATACTAAGGAAGAACCAGTGCAGTTGCATTGCATGCAGCATGATCTCATGATTGGTCTCTTTCTTCAAACCTTTTTCTTCATGACTTAGGGCTGGTTTGACTCTTGACAACCAAATTCATCTACGACAGGTTCAACAAATATCGTACCCTGTGTCATTCACTGATTAGTCAAATTCATATATATTGAAAAAAGCACTGCGAATAGCTCTAAACATTCGATCAAAAGACTACTTGCAAATATTGACATCACACTCACCGCTGGGAAAAGTGCTCCTAAGTAGTGATACTTGCATTCAGTTGTAGATAAGATTAGAGTATTTGAAGGGAGATCAATTTTTGCACACTGCACAAAGATGTAACGTTAAAATCTTCCTTATAAACTAAAAAAACATTTATAAGCTGCTAGATATATATATCCATTCGGTCAATAGCAGCAGACAGGTAAAAGATTTTTTTATGTTAAAAATTAACATATTAGAGAATCGATTTCTCATACATATGACTCACCAAATTTTTAATCTTCAAGTGGTTGAACAAATCATCATTGCTGAATTGAGATACCTCAAAGAACATGTAATCAGTGGGTCCACCAATAATCCTAAGTGCATATATTGTTAAAATATGTGTAAGATTTCATCATAAGAATTAATGTTTATTATTAAAAGACAGTATAACATCATATATATATCCATAAATTACCCCATTGTATGGTTGACAGCCTTTTTGGGTATGAAGATGGAGATGTTCAGCCTACCCGGCCAGTTACCAGTAACACTGCAAGGACCAACAATAATATAGAAACAACAGCGAGTTTAAGAAATCATGCGTACGTGAATTTTTGGATTTTTATTGAGAAAATTTTAAGTCATGATTCCGACAAACTTAATATTGTAATGACCTTAATTAAAGAAAATTAAATACTTGTTATTTAATTCAAAGATTTTAAACAAACTTTGTATTTTTAATATCATCATTTTTTTCCTTAATTAGGATTAGGGAAATGTTTATTTTTCTAATTAACACCATTGATACACTACAGAAAATTTAGAATTGGACAATTAATTAGGATCCACTTACATGTTAACTGATGTTGGTTTCCTCAAGGCCTGTTTCACACGGGAGAAAAGGGTGAGAAATTTAGCTATTTTGTAGTCAAGTCTCGTAATTGTTACAATACAGGTCGATCAAAATTTAAAATATAGGAATAAAATGCCCTTTCTGATGTATCTCATCTAACAAATTAGACATCAATTATGAGTCAAGAAATATTTTTTTACAATTAACAAATTATTTCATACCTTTGCTTGAACAATGATTATGCTCTTTGAGTCAAATTTTCCAACCAAACATCCCTAGATGTACAAGGAAAAACATTCATCGTAAAAACATCTCTATAAATCGTATAAAACTGTATTACTAAATTTAATATTTATATAATATATATTTCTAAGCACGTATTCTATCTTCTAACTAATCAGATATTTAATAGGATAAATAGTGCAGATACAGGACTAATGCAATAAAATACAAAATATATCTGCAGCTCACACCACATATAGCATAACATGTTCCTTCATTCCAAAACTAACAATAAATTTAATTGGAAAAAGCATATTTTCCGTCCATCTAACATTTTCTAAACTTGATTTTAATTATCCAGATAAATATTATCTTAGTTTTGTCTCTCTAATTTAGAAATACTTTACTTTTAATCCTTAAAATAATTAAAATTAATATCAAATGAAAGTTATAAATTGTCAAAAAAAATATTTTTTGAGATCAAAAGTGAGATATTTCTAAATTAAAAGAACAAAAATAGGACAAAATTTTTGAAAAACTAAAATCAAATTTGAAATATTTTAGAGTTCCCAAAAACTTATTCTGTCAAATTTGATATATAAAATTTACTTAAACACTGGTATACGTAAGTATGAAAGCATAAACCTATATATTAAAATCAAATATTTAATTCAAATAGGACTTCAATCATGGAACTGGGAAGCCATTTTGTATTTTGTAACAAATAAATTAACATATATGCGATTAAAGTGCAAGTATATAACTTTCATTATAAGCTTTTGAAAGTATCATAGCATCTTATGTTGGTCATTTATGGAATAATGAGCAAATTAGTATACCTCCCATGCTTTCTCGAAGTTTCCCTTGTCTGCAAGAGATGGCGGGCGAGGCCGAAAATGTGTATGATTAGGTTGAAGAGAAACCGTAGTATTTGCAGGTGTACCTTGAGGACTAAATCCAGTCATGTTGTAGTGATGGTTCATTGGAAGTTGTCGCTCACTACTACCACAAGGAAGTACTGGGAAGCTTGGTGATGATGAGCTTGATTCAAATTGACCGAGTGAGTTTCCCATTGTATTAGGGAACATGGAGTTACCAAATGAAGCATCAAGTTGGGTAGAACCAATAGTTCCTAATCCAATTGTTGTGCTATTCATACCAGTTGTTGTATTACCAAATGAAGCACCAAGTTCGAGAGGAGCAATAGTTGATAATCCAAGTGTTGTGTTATTCATACCACTTGTGAAATTATCAAATGAATCACCAAGTTGGAGAGGATCAACAGTTGCTAATCCAAATGATGTGCTATTCATACCGCTTGTTGAAATACCAAATGAAACACCAAGTTGGAGAGACTCAGTAGTTGTTAATCCAACCATTGTGCTATTCGTATCACTTGTTGAATTACCAAATGAAGCACCAAGTTGGAGAGCATCAATAGTTGTTAATCCAATTGTTGTGCTATTCATAACACTTGTTGAATTACCAAATAAAGCACCAAGTTGGTAAGGATCAATAGTTGCTAATCCAACTGATGTGTTATTCAAACCACTTGTTGAATTACCAAATGAAACATCAAGTTGGAGAGAATCAATAGTTGTTAACCCAACTGTTGAGTTATTCATACCACTTGTTGAATTACCAAATGAATCTTGTGGAGGATCAATAGTTGTTAATCCAACTGTTGTGCTATTCACATCAATTGTTGAATTACCAAATAAAACACGAACTTGTGAAGGATCAGCAGTTCCTAATCCAAGTGTTGTGCTATTCATACCACCTGTGGAATTACCAAATGAAGCACCAAGTTGAGGAGGGTCAACAGTTGTTAATCCAACTGTTGTGTCATCCATACCACTTGGGCGAGACCATGAATTTGGTTCTACAGGCCATAAATTTGGATTGTATTGAGGAAATGACAAACTAGAGTTTGAGCAGTTTTCTGAGCTGGGAATAAGGTTCACTACCGGTTCATGAGTTGGTCCTTTGGAAGATCCTTCTCCAGCTATGGAAGTGGATGAATTCAATCCAATAGTTGAAGTTGTGTCATTTGTTACACTTTGTGCTGCAATGTCCCTCAACTCTTGTGTTTGCCCTTGTCTAAGAATATCCTCTAAAGGAATCCGCTGCTCTGGTTGGTAAAGGTCTTTTAAAGTGTCCCATCGTAATGTTGCTTCAGATGTCCTGTTTTTTTTCCTTGGATTAAAAACATCATCAGTGTTGTTATCTAGCTCTGCCAAAAAATCATCAGCGAAATTCATTGGCAGGGAGAAGCAGCTGGTTGAAGGAACATATGTAGTTGCCTGTGGGTTAACCGGGGGTAGGGTGCTTGCAAACTCCTGAACAATAATGTATTTTTATCATAGCAAGTAAAAGAAAAATTAATTAGTAATGAACCCGACATAGGTAGAAATTAAACATTGTAATAAAAGAATTTAACTCCTTGGAGGTGAAATGAGAAAAAAAAAATCGAAATATTTCATCAAATAAACCTCAAATTTAAAGAAGAAAAGTTATACGTAAAATACTAACATTTTGGACAGCCTCCATGGTTTTTTCTTCAATGGGCATGCTACTAGCTGGTAATAGGGCTCCTGAAAATATTAAACAAAAAGAAAAAGATGAACAACAAAGGAACTTAACAATTGGAGTAGACATTAAATTAAACATTTTCGGACTTGTCCACCGAGAAGAGATTAGATTAATTTTCCTAATGATCACTAATGTGATACAGGAGAAATAGAAGTAATTAAATCTATAAAAATATCCATTAGATCTTCAATACTAATAAATTAGATTAAAAAAAAATATGAGGTGCAACTTTTCATGGCTTTTGTCAGAAGATTGTTATCGCTACATAGTTATAACTATATTCATTAATAAATTACTCTACTTTATCTATAACTAATTATACAAACTAATTATATGTTCTATCAGAATAAAGGAGCAACAAGCTATAGTACCAGGGAAAGATGATGAGAAGAAAAATATAATTAAGAATTGATGACACATATATATAAAGAAAGAGAAAGAGAGAGAGAGAGGAAGAGAGAAAGAGAACCTAGAGGACGTACCGTTATTGAAAATTGAGGCAAGTGAAATAAAAGTTGTAGCGTTCGTTGATTCTACACTTTTATTTGAAAGTGAATCCATTACTCCTTTGTTGTGAAGGACATTATAAGCCTCCTTAAAGTTTCTTGACAAAAAAACAGTAAACTGATCATTTCCATAGTTAATGACATGAGTGTTTTCCACTAGAGCATTCCCTACAAAAGAAGGTGGAAAAATTATATGCTAATCAAAACACAAAATTTCTTACTCCTGCAGAAAACTTTATTTAGCAATATAGATGATCGTTCATTGGAATATTAGTTTTAATTGGATTAATTATATTTGCGTACGTGTGTACAAAATCTTAGTAACACATTCATATAAATAATTGCTTGGTAATTTGATGAATCCCAGAACTTGTTCATTTTTGCTTGAATTTTAACGAAAATATAATATCCTATCTTGAAATATCTTGATTCATTTTGCATTGTGATATACATAAAGTATTCACGTAGCATTTTCAGCTTGGGGAGAGTCTATTTTTAACAAGGCAATTACTGTGAATGCAATGCACTTATGAACTGATGATATTTATTGCTATAATAATTGTAATTTGCAATTTTAGATCTTGACTTAGCATGACTAAAAGGGTTCACTAACACTTCCATCATTGTTACTAGCAGTCTAGCATTATAGTAGATACGCTACTAGGTATTATGTGACCATGCATGATCATGCCATTTAATGTTTGTGGTGATCGAGTATGTACACAGTCTCTGATTCAATTAGTATATATGAAAATAGATATCTTATGAAAAGCCAACAAACAAGGACGGAGCCAAGGGGGGACCTACGGGTGCCACGGCCCCCCCAACAATTTTAATTTTTTTTTATATACATATATATTACTATATGGCACCCCGTATTTTTAATATAAACTCATATGTATAATTAAATGAATAACCCAAATTTATTTTTTTATTCAACTTTTGGACTTCTGGTACGGCCTGCTATGTGATATCACTTTGGAATTTTTTTTTTTTTAAAAAAATGTAGCGCCTCATTTGATCATTCCAATTCTCGGCCCCCCAGTATTGAAATCCTGGCTCCGTCCCTGTCAACAAATAAGTTATCTGTGAAAGGAAGTTATATATTATAAGAGATAAATTAAGCTTTACCACATTGAAAATCGAGCGAAACATTGGATGTTGCTTTGGAGTAATTACTGAAAGGGATACTTCTAGCTGTGTGTAATAACATGGACATAGTCAGTATAAATAGGAGTTATAATAATGAAGGAAAGTGTAAGAATTTTAGAGTTCAAGGAAATTACCGATTTAAACATTTTAGCCACCTCTAAAAAGTGAGCATTTAAAATTTTGAAATTTTCTACAACAAATTTTCCTTCTTCAACTGTAGGCAAAGTTACTAACATTTTCTGTGGGACAGGGTCACCTGTTGCCACAAGAATACAATGTCTTTCACCCTTGAAGTACTCTTTTACTGACATATTTCTTGTGAACATCTGATTAGTCCAAGTTTCAAATTGTTATTTCCATTGTTACAGTAATTTATGTAAGAAAATTAAATCAATAACGAAATATGGACAAAATGTATATGTGTATATGTGTGTTAATTAACTTACCACTAAAGCTTCTGCCAAACCTTGTACTATGGTATGTTGGTTTTCATTATTCCCATTGAAAGTTAAACGCGACAGAGTGCCTAAAAAGTGATCTACATCTGTTGTCCACTTGATAAATTGGACGTTATAACCTGTACACAATAATTTTTTTTTTAAAAAAAAATCATCTGAAGATAAAGAGTCTGTATAGCAGACATATATAATGGGAATAATTCTTAGTTTAAAAATATGCAAAACATAAAGAAGTACCTAGGTCTGAATTGTTGGCGTTGTACATTATTAAACCAAGCTCACAAGAAGGAATAACTACCTGTATGTAAGACATCAAATGATACATGGTCAAGTAAAATATATTTACTTTTAGGAAATAGGCAAAAATTAAAAAAATAATAATAATAATACTAGTATATCAATATATAACATGTCAGTTTAAAAAAAAAATCTAATATTACGAAAAATATTATATACAGTAACATATAAAAAATATTACTATAGATACAATATATGTAGATATAAATTTGTTTGACATATAATTACTTAATTTTAATATTGATTTTAAATCATATTCAACAAAATATATTATGTGTCACTATAATTTATACTTACATATTTTAACAATATATTAACATATATTAAATTTATAATGTAGTTAAAAGTAATTTTTAATAAGAAGTATTATATGAGTGTGTTAATTATTACATGATATTTTTTTTAAAGATATAACCCAAAGACTCATGGTCCCACCAAGAGCCAAACCCTTCTACTCTAGGCTTATCTCTCCTCCAAGGCGATAAATTTTCTACTGGTGATATTTTCATTGACTTTATCTATGCATTTGAAAACCATACTATATTGGCTTACCTTCATTCAAAAACACACTAATATGGGAATAATATATATTGGGAAGTTTTTAATTTTTAGATGTGATGGATAAATAATACAGTGTATATCAAGCAATTCTATAACTTTACAAGATCATAACATCGAAAATTCAAATACAGAAAAACTATAAATTACCTGTCTTCTTGAGTTGTCAAAGAAGGCCCTGTATAATTAATAGGGGAATAAATAATACACGTGAGAGAAAATTCAATTCACAAACTAGGGGTTACATATGTAAATCTTAGATTGAGCAAATTAAGCCATCCACGGTTTCAATCATAGAACCAGGTTGGCTTTATATAAACTAATTATGGATGATATAGAATGTAATAGCCACACTTTTTATCAATTAAGCCTGAAATGTTTAATATTTAAATAGACTTGGTTTAAAAATTGAATCTCTTTGAATAGTGACAAATAAAATGAGGACTCTTGATTAACACTTAATATTTATCAGTTTTGAAGTCATTATCAAGTTATTTACTCGTCTCTTTGATTCATAAACATGGAATAATAGAACACACTACTTTGCACGATGTGAAGCACCCAGTCTAATTTATATTTACATAGAATTGAATGTGCATTGAACATTAGAGAATTAGAGCAAAGCAGTTTTTAGATTCTGCATGCAATGTTATCCTACACTTTTTTAATCCTACATTTCCGTGATTGAGAGAAAAAGACACAGAAAAATAAAGTATTATTTAGATTGAAGAAATACTTTTTTATCTTTACTTTTAATTATAAAATGTTTACATTATTTTTTATTCTCATGTTTATCTAAAAATACTATAAAAAAAACTTTTATTTTGCTTTTTCTTATATAAATTTATAACAACAAAAACATAAAGTAAAAATAAAATAACATTTATTATTAAAAATTTAATAAAATTATTTTCTTTGGGTTATGTTTTTCTCCCACCGACATGAACGTCAAATTTACCTTATATAAAACAATAATAATAAGAAGTAACTAACTCTTACTGTAGGAGGATGCTGTGTAAAAATAAATAATAAATAATAAAAATAATAAATAAATAAAACCTTACTGTGGGACTTAGGGGACTTAGGACTAAACGGACATAGACTCTCTCAGCCGTTACTCTATCCATTGTCTTTATCTCTCTTATTTCCTCTCTATTCTTTTTTTAATTTAAATTTCAAATTTCTCTTTTCTCTTTGTACTTTTCCCTGCTACACAGAGAGAAGCTGGAGTGGATCCAATTTCGGACTCACCCAAGTTAAAAAAAGTATTCACCAGTATATATATATATATATAATACAAAACTAAAATGTTTATCTCTTAAAACGATTTTTCTCCCTTTTAATTTTTCCCCCCTACTCATATACTACGAAAAATTACAAGGTAGTATAAGAGAGTTGATTATATGGACCACCACATGATCTCAGCCAATTACTTTATGATATGTTTTTAAATTTTTTAATATAAAAACCATTTTAATTACATATCATACAAGACTAATTATATATATTAAGAGTAATGTGCTTCAAGATCACTTATATGTTGTCAAACGTTTTATGAAAAGTTAATTGTACCCAAAACAACATAAAAAAACAAATCAATGAATCAAGCATGCTTATGAATGACAATCGTTAGTTCAATATCTTTATAGCATAAATTGAAGGCCATAAAAGTTGCAAATTAATGTAGATGATACATGAGGATGAGGGTATAGCCTGCAAGAATTTTCAAACCTGACAATCTTTGCAAGATACTCAGAAACAATCTTGGGCCAAGAAGGAGTCAAAGCTGAGTTCCCATCCACAACTATGCTTAGCCACTTTTTTGTTGCCATTCTGAGAGAAAGAATTGAAGAGCATGCAGAAGAAGTGAGGGAGAGAATGAAAAAGAGGAGGAGTCTTGGGTTGTTTATATAGCGGTTTCAACATCATGAACTCTCTTTTTCATCACAATGATACCAAATGTCAAGTTTTGGACATTACTCTCTCTTTCTCTTTGAATTATTTTCGGTTACTTTTTATGAAAACCACATCCTTACATTTATCATCGGGACTTTCAGCCCTGAACGTTGAAGTAGTAACCGGTAATGCAGAATTTCACACATTACATACATTGCACTGAGACTTGGTATCAAATTTGAGTTGTTTTTCACTCACCACATCATATATATGGACAAATAAGCCAATGGATCGGTTTTTGTGTGATTAATGATAATTAGTCAAAAGATGTAAAGTTGCATTAACTATTTATTTAATTGTACTCATTACCTTTTTTAAAGCTAAACATTCACAGTTAAATTATAAGAACTTAATTTACTAACATACCAACTACTCTTATTGAAAGAAAAAAAAAAAATATATATATATATATATATAAGGATATAAAAGCTTGTATTGTTAAATATTACAAGTGATTCATAGTTAATAAAATTGAAATTTTCATACATGAAATATCAATGTAAGATTAATGATGTATATTGATTTTAATAGTAAAACTTTACACAAGAAATAAAGGCATTAGATGATGGTTTTTTTTTTAATCACTATAAAAAAATTCATATAGTAACATATAAAAAAAAATATTACTATAAATACAAAATATGTAATATAAATTTATTTGACAATAGTCAATAATAAATTCAAGACATAGTGGGGATAATTTAAAAAAAATTAAAATCATCATCATTATATATATTCAAAAAAACAAAAAATAAATGTCAAAAACAATCATCAATAGATTTAATATATAAAATTAGGAGGTGTAAAATATAATATTTTAAAATATATATTACTAATTTAATTAAAATGAGAGATATATTTGTACACTCTCACTGTAGATCCGTCATTACATATAGATACACATGATTTTAGTGTTAATTTTACATAAGAATTTAATAATATATATTATATATGGATCGTTATTACTTATAATTACATTTTTCAACAATATACAAACACATTATATAATTTTTAATGATAAATATTATATGTACTGCATGGTATTTTTTTTAGTAATAGATATTATATTTTTTATGAAAAATTGAAACTTGAAAGTGATAAGAATTAAAGAAATAACTGATCTGAGTGTGTTAAAGTTTTTAGCAGTAAAACCACGTTGCAAAAGTCAACTTTTTATTGAAAAAGTGAATGCAATCAGGAAAGTTGAAATTGACAGAAAAAAACAAATATATGATTTGGCAAAATATAAAGAGTCATTAAAGACAATTAACTTTTTTCCTTATTTTCGTTTCAGTTTTTTACTTTCATTAGTTTCAAATTTTTCTTAGGTCAAAAAGATGATGATGATCACATTCACATATAAACTTCTTTTTTAATATTTCAAAAGTTTGAAAATGATTTGAATTCCTTGTTTAATTTATAAATTTTGAAAGGTTACTTTCATGTTTTAATTAAAGATTATAAAAATATAATTTATTATCTTTATATTAATTAAGATTTAAATATTTTTTAGTGATGTAAAATAGGATATTTTTAATTTTAGTTCTTTTAAAAGAAACAAAATATTTTTGTCCCTGTGAATTTTTTTTTTATTTCATTTTCATTCATTAAACCTAATGGAAAAAAGTTTAAAAAATATATAAGAACCAAAATAAATAAATAAATAAATAAGCAAAAACATTATAAGGACTAGAATAGAAAAAGACTAAAATAAAAACAACCAAAATTTGGTAGAACTGAAACAAAATTAACTAAAATTAAGAGGATTAAAAGGAAAATAATTAGAATTAAGAGGATTAAAATTAAAATAATCTTATTTAAAGGGTTTAAACTTTTATTTAAGCTATCCTTAATTATAAAGTTTAAAGTAAAATTCTTAATTTAAAGTGCTCATCTAAAACAATTAAACCTTAAATATAAAACTTTGGAGATTTTATTTTAATACTTTTAATTTTAGTTATTTTTATTTTATTTCTATCAAACCTTTGTTATTTTAGGCTTGTTCGGAAGAGCTTCTGAATAACTTAT